TTGGTTTCACCACGTATTACATATCCTGTCCCCAAAGAAACTCTGTGTTTCTGAATCAGGTTTCGTAAACAAGTACCGAACATTGACCTTGCAGTAGCCTCCTGCTTAAAAAAACAACAAAACCAAACCAGTTTTGCTCTTTAAATTGGACAGCTCTGAAAGAAGCCGTTGATGGAAAAGATAAAATCAGCTTTCAGAAGGTGAAACTACGATTTAGTTGTAAGAAGAGACTTGAGGTCTAAAGACTCGAGAATGGGGGGAAAAGTTCTGTTGCAAGGAGCTATTTGTATGATGCATCAGTTGATAACTCTCTGATCAGAAATCATCTTATAATTAGTTACATAGTAGGAAGACGAAGCTTTTAGGTTAAACTGTGTGCCAACTTCATTTCACAGTTGATCTTCTTAGCCTTTTCCTTTAGCAATGAGAATTGGAGAGGATACTACGTGCAGCATCATCTAATATAAATTACAAATATTTAAATAGATTTTCCAAAAGAAAAGAAGTCAGACAAGTTGTATGCAAATTATTTATATAATGCCCCCTTTGTGGTGGGTTTACACACAGATCAGAAGAGAAATATTTGTACAAATGACTAGTTGTGGTAATAAGATGCTGACCGAAGAAAGGATGTCGTATCTAGATGACTGATTTTAATAACGGCTGCATTGAGCATTAGCCTCAGAACGAAAAGTGTGGGATTCATTTCAGAATGGGGACCTGATGGTCAGTCTAGGGGAAGAGTTGTGTAATTACATACAAATCTTTCTCTTAGAGTACAGTCATTACCACCAAAAAAAAAAAAAAAAAGTATGTCCCACTCTAAAAAGTGTAACATTTAAAAAAAAGTCCTGTTGAAAGAACTTCACTGTGCTGCCTTGAATCTGGAGAGACATTCTAGTTCTTATTAGCTCACAGGGCATTCTGCATACTCCTAGTTAAGTGGTCTTGCATGAGTTCATTCCCAGTAGCTGAAGTGAAGTAAAGCAGACACAGTCTTTCATCAGATTGTAATACCAGAATCAGTCAACATACCTTTTAAGATGGACTATGCCAAATAAATACATTAAAAAAGGATTTCCATTGATCTGAGGACACTTCCAGTCTTTACCACCTGTCATTCTATTCCCCAAGCCAGCTTCTGGAAAAAGAATTTGGGCTCTCTTAATGTTGTCAGTCAATACACACTATGTCTAGATCGCGTGTTTCTTAAACCGATCTTGGGCACTGTGAGGTTTCTATAAGGTTGCTGTTTAGATACTCATTTTTAAAGCATTCTTCTAGGAAAGAAGAAACTTGAGGTCTGCTTCCAAAGTTCATTCCACTGAGGCAATAGGCAGGAATGAAAACTTCTGCAGAATCAGGGACGGTGGAGCGCGGTAAGAGGTAGCGCTCGCTGCCGCTTCTCTAAGCATTGTTTGTAATGCAGATGGCTGAACTGGTAGATTGGCTCAAGTTGTCTTTGAGTTTAGCATTCTAGTCGCTCTTTTTTCCTATGGTAAGCACCCACCTTTTCACCCCTTATTTGCTACGTTAACTTGTACCCATTTCCGCCCTTGCAGTGGCTTTAAAAGGAGCTGCAGCCTTTTTGTTCTAGCTCACATGACATACTATGTGGATGCAGTGGAAAGGGCTGAAGCGAAAATCACTATAGAGGTGGCAGCGCTTGAACAGAGGTGTCCACGGATACAGCCTTTGGCTGCAAAATGTTCAGTGCTGTGATTCCTAAAAGATTTTCTTCTCCTCTTTCTTCCCCCAGGGAGAGACTTCTGCAGGCTTATGGTGAATAGTGGGAATCCTTTAGTCAAAAACCTAACCTTGACATCTTTATCCTTTCATCAGTCTTCCTACAGCCTTAAGCAGTGCAGAGCCATCTATCTATGCCCTGCTCACCTTGCTTCAGAACAGGACCCATCTCCTTCGCATCCAAAAAACAAAAATAAATTCAATACATTTCTCCCTTGTCACGGAAAATCAGAACACGGTACTGATGATGCGTGGTGTACAGTAGCTTAGGGTGGTTGTAAAACATCCATGGAACAGAGGCAAAATTTGAGCACTTATTGTATTGTCTCATATTGTAGTAATCCTTAACTACTCCTGACAGCTGCTTTGACCAACCTCCTGCCGAGTAATGAAATGTTCCTCTTGTACGTGCTGCAGAATGTACAGTAGAAGCCCTTGGGTGCTTGTCTTTGGGAGAGTTTGGAGCTCTACTTCAAAATGTGCCTTTTCCCCCGAGCTGTTGGCATGGTGATCTGGTTGTGGTGGATCACAGTTCAGATCCTTCGGTCACAAGCTCCTGCCGTTGTTCTGTGCTCACCTCCTGAAGGACAAATGCTCAGGGCAACGTTGATGGACTGCCAAAGGAGCACAAGGGAAGATCCACATGATGGAAGGCCTTTGAGTGAGGGGGAAGTAGCAGGGTGACCCTGAAGAAGAAAGTGTGAGTAAAAGACCAGTTGAAATAAAGACTTGTCAACAAACTAAAGCATCCCACTCCCCCCCCCCCCCCGCCATGGGAGCCTTCTGTGCAAGACTAGCATCCCTGCTGTTTAATACAGCCCAGCCCTCCTTGCTTGTCATCACACAGAGTTGGAGAATTTTTATCTCCACGTCTGGTTTCTTTCATAGCCGTAGCAGCCACGGTTGTAACGAGGAGAATAAACAGGACACTCGCAGCCACTTGTGCGTAAACGCTTGTGTTCATAAAACATACCTTGTAAAAATGTAACATAAACAAGATCTTGGCTCTTGCACCCCATTTTGTACAATATTGCCATCATGAATATGCTGGGCCTGAGAACCAGACTTCCATCTGTATTGCTTCTCACTTCCACACTGAGTGGAACTTGTTCATAGTGCGGCCTGGACGCCTTCACCCGCAGGTATTAAGTGATGCAGTTCTGGGAGTCGTGCCCAAAAGACACTGGCAGCACCTTAACAGGCAATAACTTTTGTGTTATGATGGGGGCGGGGGGGGGAGGGGGCAATGGAGAAGCAAAATCTTAGAGGAGGGGAAAACCTAACAAATAGGGTCCTGTCCTCCCCCCTTTCTGCACCTCCCTCCCCCCCTCCCCAAAATCTCAGGCAATGTGTAGGCTTTACCTCTTCAGAAAAGTGGAAAGGAAATAGAAGTCTTGCACTTTCTATTGCAGGACATAGGCCAAGGGCGAGGGCCATAGAGAGAGAGGCCTTTTGTTGGGAAAGATTCCGCCCGTTATGAGCATAATTTGGTATGGCCCATTTGTTCCAAACCAGGCCTGTTAATTGTGGTGACAGAACATATAGTAGAACCGGAGGTGATCCATAGGATATGCTGTTTCTATGTCTCGGATGGCTCTGAAAGCTTGCAGCAAAATATTGACGTGCCCAGGCTGCGTTTTTATTGTCGGCATTGATGGCCTGTCCGTCATTGTCATGTCTGGGTGCCTGATTAAAGAGATGAGTTGGGCTGGATATCTCCGCAGGATTCTGCGCTTTTATGCCTTGTTTTTGCAGTAGCTAGTTTTTCATTTTACTCATCCATGTCCACCCATCTCATCTGCTATCCTCTTTCTGTGGGAAATTCTAATGGGTTAACACAATAAACGGAACATAGATATCAAGATTATTTGCGGGCAAACCCCCTTGAGTCCTTGCTGTCATACTCTGAACTAATTCCAAGTGAGGGAAGAACTTGTATACCAGTATAATTAAGTGCACATACATGTATTTCTGTTGAGCTCAGGATTCATTCTTCCCATGCCTCGTATCAAGGTACAAAAAGGATTACCTTTCAGGCTTTTATTATTTCAATGGTAAAAGGTATTTGCCCACATCCCGTAAAGGTGCCGCTGGGTTTGTGACCATATCAGTGTGTACTGAATGCACGGGGAGCGGTTGGTTACGAGATCGGATTGGTTTGAGAATGCTCCGAACATTGCCAGTGAAGAGTGGCCTAGAGTTCAAACTGTAAATCACACCTCTAGAGCAAAAATGGTGTGTCGTTTGTGCAGGAAACTGGGTAACAGCCGTGATATATTGCCGGACTTCTCCATTCATTGGGGACTGTGGAGGGGACTAAATATAACTACCCCCCTATGACCCACACCTCTTCTGTAGTAATGGGATCAGAAGAGTGAAAGGTGTTCCTCAGATTGTAGCCCCTCATTAATGAAACAAATTTGACCCCCACGTTGGAGGTGGCAAGATGAGTCTGTTGGATTGGTGGTCTTATGCCAGCATAAAAAAACCCCAAAACATTCTGTAAGATTTGTACGCAGAGTTGTTTTAAATTTGTGTAATTAACTAATATTTTTAAAAAATGTTCAGTGGAGGGTATCAGATTCCACCACTACCTCAGTTTGTGGAGGGCTGAAGCCAAAAGCCTTGATTCTTCACCATTTGGGAAGTATTAGTATGCTGTCTACCTATAGTTCATGATTTGTGCAGTTTTTATTGGAAATTTTAGATTTAAAATATAATGCAGATCAGGAAAACATTTGATTTTTAAAAATTTCTGGGGCAATTTAAAAAACTTAATATAATAATTTAAAATTTTCCTTTTGACATTTAATTGGCTCATAGATACTGGTTATTTTAAACGATGTTTTGTTCTCCAAATCACAGTCATCAGACTTGCCACACCTGTTCTGAAGGCATCAATCTGTTATTTTGGGTTCCATGTTGCTGAATTGGTAAAGATTAGACTAAGGAGATTTGAAATTAAGGGGAAAATAATTAGAAAATCGTGGACAAAACACTTGGATGAAAACTAATGGTGAAATTGCCCTTTGAAAGAAATTTTTAGTTCATTTTCCCCTTGTTAAGTTGCATTTTAGCCTAACAGCAGGAAAATAAAAGTAAACTTAAGAAAATGCAAATAAATGTTACTCTTTAAAACTGGTTAAAAGCAGATTTTTGTAAGTTGCATTGTCCACTGGTTGCATACACACTTCTTATTGTGACATGACGATATTAAATGTTGTTATTGTAATGTAAACATTTGTTTTCTTTAGGTAAACAAACATTAAAGATCTTTGATGGGAATGATGCAGTAAAACGCAATCAATTTCGACTGATTTCCGTTCCAAGGATTGCAAAAAGTGAGGAGGTTGTGGTAAGAGACTCTCAAATGGATAACGACTGTGTCTGATAGATTACGTTGGCCTCTAGCTATCCCAGCATACCATGATTTACAAATGTAATGCATCTCACAACGCCGATGACAAAACCTGCTTGTACCCTAGCTCAAATATTAGAACATAATTTGGTTTCTGTCTAGCACTGTTGATATTCCTGGTACTTCAGACCACTTTATGAGGTACTGATGGAGATATGCAGACTGCAGAGACTTCATAGATGTATGCAGCAACCATTATGTGTTAAGCTGTAACTCGCCTATCCTGTCGAACATTCAAATGTGGTTTTAGTGATAGCTGGGATATTGGCTGGTATACCAGGGTTGCTAATGAGCCCCCTTTCTTCTCTCTAAATATATAGTATTTAATGATTTTAACTTCAGTCTGGACAAACACCAGAGGGTTACACATACATGAAACAAACTATTTCTTAAGACTGCTGCATATGTCCATTTTTCTGTTTACCAAACAAGGCGTACTAAAATTGTTATTGAATAAAAACCCAATGCTCTGCAGAATGAGGGAAAAGACCGAGTGATAGGCGCTCTTCCTGTGATAGATGCAGGGTGGGAACCTCTATAGAATATTACCAACGTTTTTCAGCTTCAGTCAGTAAATAACTGTTATCATTATATACCCCCTTCTGCATTGATAATGTGCTCAAAATTAACTGAAATTTTGAAAATTACTCTTGATGATCCACATCCAAATAGTTAAAAAAGAATATGCAGTGCAAAAAAAAAAATTGCTATTTAGGATTGCTTGGTATTTTTCAAACGTAATTATTTTGGCTGTTGTCTTCTCCCAAATAAAAGAAATTCCTAGTTCACAAAAAGTGCCATCCAAGGACATATTTGTTCCAGGGTCTGTGGTGGCTGAAGGTGATGCAGGCTGTGATAGAAGGTCTCTAGCTTTGAAATTGGGCTGTAATGGCAAGGATGGCTACAGAGTTCCCTATGCTGCAGGTGGAGTGGTCTTTACCTGGCCAGGAGAGCCCCAAAGAGGGAGATGTGGACCTGGGGAGCAGAGTGGCTGTGAAGCAGGGATGCTTAGGGCATCCAGGGCTTAAAGTGGTCTCTGATTTAAACCTGGGTCAAAGGCAGGCAGCTGTATGCCCCACAGTGCAGAGAAGTACAACTTACCTCTCCGTACAAGCGTGAATCCTGAAGCTGTGTGTCTATTGCAGCTCACTGCATTTATATTAAAAGGATACATCAATCAAAATTGCCATCGCTTGACAAAAATACTCCAGGCACCAACAAAAATCTATATATTTGGATTCTGGTGAGAAATTTCCACTTGTGTTTTTACATCACTAAAACTTCGTTGCGAAACCATATGCTTATTTTTGATAGCGGCCTGTCGGCTGTTTTTATGTTCCCTTAAAAGAATCTTTTAGAGTAAGTGAACTAACTGAATTTCATAACTGTGTCCCAGCCAGACATCAGTGCACGTTTTCAGAGGAGGGCGACTCACTCTCTTTCCTGTGCTGTTGTAGGAGGCAGCGCTGAGGGCATACTACGTAAATGATGATCAGCAGCACTATGAGCTCCAGACATTTTCTCAGCAGACCTTGTTTTCTGATGACATCATCAACAGGAATGATGCCACTGAAGAAACCAACCCAGGTCCAGTGTTCAGAGAGGCGGTTCCCGAAGCTTGGATCATCAGAGCCAAATCTAAGGATCACGAAGTAATAAGAATTTATCCCGGTTGGCTGAAGTAAGTGATATCCTTCTTTTTGCAAGGTTACTCTGCTCAGCCAATTTTGCCTTCAGTTGTGGCCAGGAAAATGTGTTGCAGTCGTTAAAGTTGCACGAGGGTAAAGGAGGACAAAATCCACTACATTTCAAGGATCTGTGTTGGTGTAACAGATATTTATTTTTTTAGCTTTCATTTTTCTTCATTTCTAGACTGTGACATTAACTATTACATTGATTTAGCCCCCAGTCATGCACGCTTAAGAGTCAACAGGTGCCTTTGCATGATCGGGACAGATCCTGCATCTTTGTTTAGTTGTAGCACACGTTAATCCAAGGAGACATAACTTTTTAAGCAAATTGTATCCGTGTACAAATGATGAGCAGAAGCTTTCTTGTGAGAGCTTCATATTTTTTAAAGGGAACGTTAAGATAAAGATATGTATGTTACATTCTTTTCCATGTTAGTAATAGATTAGATCAGGGGTCGGCAACCTTTCAGAAGTGCTGTGCCGAGTCTTCATTTATTCACTCTGATTTAAGGTTTCACGTGCCAGTAATACATTTTAACTTTTTTAGAAGGTCTCTTTCTATAAGTCTATAATATATAACTAAACTATTGTTGTATGTAAAGTAAATATGGTTTTTAAAATGTTTAAGAAGCTTCATTTAAAATTAAATTAAAATGCAGAACCCCCCTGACCGGTAGCCAGGACCTGGACAGTGTGAGTGCCACTGAAAATCAGCTCGCGTGCTGCCTTTGGCACGCGTGCCATAGGTTGCCTACCCTTGGATTAGATGATTAAAACAGTTTTTTTTAAAATCTTATTTTTTTTTTTACTACTGAAACTGTTTTGCATTTTATGCACCCTCCACAATGAAATAAGACTGATCAGTTTATAGTCACTTTCGTTTTATAGTTCCATCTTTCATCCCAAAGGTTCCCAAATTGTTTGAGTTGTGTGTCTGTCCTTGCTGCTGAGATTGCCAGTTGTATTGACAAAAACTTTAGTCCATAGTCCTGCAAGTGGGACTGCTCGGACAGAGGCCCATGGGTTTCAGTGAGTCTTCATACAGGCCTACTTGTGTGAAGTCACCAGCAGTATCGAGGCGTCAGTGACTAGTCTCCGGGATAGTGGGTTCCCTCCTGTCCAATGTGAGTGGGACTGAGGCTTGGGGACAGCTTAATTTTATCAGCTGGTAACAAGTTTTTTACTGCATGGGGCTGAATTGTTACTGGGATCTTAGAGTAGGAGCTCTCCAGATCCTGGTACAATCTCCTGAGCTAATCCATCTGCATAAGTGATTTTAATTTTAAATATATATTTTTTTTGTTTAGAGTGGGAATGGCATATATCTCTCTACGAATAGATAAGGAAAGCACCACCCAGACAGTAATTAAAGAAGTTCTCCGGCTATTAGGACGGCAGGTAAGCAATATAAAGCTCATCAGCATTTCTTTGTGCTTCGTATGAACTATCCTAACAGTTCATTCAAAAGAAAAAGCATACTTACAAAAATGTATATATTACTTTCCCTCTACTAAATAGTCTTCTTAATGCTCAGCGAATGATAACTCCTGCCTTGCGTGGTGCCAAATTGAGGGTAAAACATTACCTGAGCATAATAAAAAAGACCCACAAGGTGGGTGGGGTAATATATTTTATTGGACTGACTTCTCTTGGTGAGAGAGCTTTCTGACACGGCTACTGCACTGCATAATACAACAGACCGAATAGCTCTATACTGAAAGCCTCCTCCATTTCTTATGGGCCAAGAAAATTTACTCATGCAAAGAGGAGAATTCTCAATCTAGAGCATACGGCTTTTGTGCTTCTGTATCTCTTGAATATTGAAATCAGGCTGATACGCAAGATCAAGTCCTGATGGAACTGGAGAAAACCTTAAATTCTTTTTTGAGTGTCTTCTGCATTGTCCCGCTCGTGGGATGTGCTGACGAGTGCAGGTCAGGTGGTGGAACCTTCTCATAACAGGGCCTGTTGGCACGCTCATGCATCTCTCCTGTCCCTCCCATCTGCATTCCTGAATGTGCTGAGGCCAAGACGATAAAATGGGACGTGGCACCCTCAGCTACCTTAGCATCTTCCATCCACAGCAACAGATGGATGTACACCTATTGGGTTCCTTTGGTGCCAGATCCTTCACTTAGAAGATCGTGGTGCCTTAGTTTACTGTTTCATAGTTAGTGTTAGACTTAGGATAAGTTAACTGTTAAGTTTTATTTTTAGTATAGTTTAGAGAGAGCTGTTTGATTCCATTTACTGGTTCCCTGGCAGACCTGAAGTTGAAGAGACCAGGCTTTCAAAGGTGCAGCTCTTGTCCAGCAGTCTTCCTGGCATGGCTGCTCATAATAGAGGTTTGTTGAGTGCTGATGTACTTCGTGATGCTCTGTCTGCAGCGTATTCAACGCGAGAGCATGCAAGGAGTTCCAGAACAGGCTGAAAGCCCTACTGTTTCAAGAAGGTTTGGCTGTGAAGCCCCTTGGAGATGGTACCTCTTCAGGGTTCTGATCAGAAGGTGAAATGGCCAATATCAGTTCTGGACACCTCTGGGTCTCAGAAAAAGGCCACAATGCAGAAAGCTCCGTCTCTGAAATTTTGTTAGGAATGCTCTTTGCAAAGATTGATATAACTCTGTTATAATTTTTTTGTTTCCTAATTGGCCAGTTGCCATCACATCTATTAAAGTTCACTTTCTGTATAAACTAGAAAGTTAAGAAGCATAATGCCTGACTTGAAAGTACTGGTACCAGGGGCGAGTGGGCCAGTTAAAATTAGTTTTGATCTCTAAATAAATTAAAAGAGTTGCTTTACCCAATAGCTGGCCAACTGGGTGTATTCCATAGGGCTCTCAATGTTTGAAGCTCTCTGTGTTTGATATTTGGGTTAAGATCCGGATTATTTGCAATGGGTGGTGTTGGCAAGGGAAAAGAGTTTATTTTACCTATAGTTCTATTCCAAACCCATAGAATAGCCTTTGCTAAAGGATGTATGCAAAATTCTGGTAGCCTAACAGTGTTTACACTGCTGCAATTTTCTTGTTCAATAAAGCTCCAGTGTTAGACTGGATTAGAGTGCCCCCAGTCCACTACGGCTTTGAGCTGGCTGGCTTGATAGTACCATAGAATTTTTGGAACAACTAGTCCACCTTGTTTAATGGGTTTGTACAAAGTATCTGCTCCCACTCTTGATTTTCTTATTCCATAGACATTCTAACATCATCCTCTGTATTCCTGCTAGGGTTTTATCTGAGATAATCGCAGAAAATTTTGAAACAAGAAAATTATCCTTGCCAGAATATTTGTTTTGACTGTGGCTATTCTTCTTGACCAAGGAATTGCATACATCCCTCAGCACTCCAGATCTTTGTTCATGTGCTAAAGTAGTAGTTTGAAGATGAAATCCTAGAGCCCTTCTAGGGTGTTTGAGATTTGAATTCCCAGGTATTTTATAGAATTTGTTGCTCCTTTATACCCACTTGTTTTCTGAAGGAGTGACGTCTCAGAGTCTGGCAAATTGTATATTTCAGATTTGCCTTAATTCACTTAAAATGCAGATGCTTTCCCAACATCCTGGATTTCTTTAGAAACTAATTTTAGGGAAATATTTGGTTTAGATAAAAAAAAAATTACGTCATTCGCATATAACGCTGTTTTCTGATGTGTTCCTGCAAGATTTATTCCTCTGATCGATCCATTATCCCTTATTCTTTTGCCCAGAGGCTTGATGGCCAGTGCAAAAAGTAAAGGAGACAATGGACATCCCTGCTTAGTTTCTCTGTGTAACTGAAACGGGAGATTTAACCCCATTAACTCGCAAAGCTGCATTTGGGCTGCTGTGAAGAGCATTATCCATTAAAGGAACCGGAGGCCAAAGTCCATTTGGGACAGGATTTGAAACAAAATGTTCCATTCTATTCTATCAAAGGCTTTCTCTGTGTCTAATGATAACAAGGGATTTGTATCTTTTAACAGTGATATGGGCATAGAGGAAGTGCAGAAGGAAAAGTCTTTTCCATTGTTAGGGAGAACCACCACAGTACTTCTTTCATAGTTTGTGGAAGTTCCTCCCCTAGGTGCTTCTCAAGGGCCCCACTAATACCTTCTTAAATATCTTGTAAAATTCATCTGGAGAGCCATCGGGTCCTAGAGTTTTAGCACTTTTCTTCCTTGCTGTTGCCTCTAGGATTTCTTCTTCTGTTATTTTTTTAATTTAAAGTTTCTTTATCAATTTTGCTTATCTTTGGCAAGCCTGTTACTTCCAGATATTTCTGAATAATTTCAGAGCCCGGAGTATCTGAGGTATAGAGATTTTTTTCGGCAGCAAAAGTAACCCATATTTCATTAGTGAGTGTAACTATCTTTTGCTGATTGTCCATCCCAGCTATAAAATATTACTCCCACTGGTTCATGATCTGACCATGTAATATTTCCAATTTCTGCAGATCTTGTCTGCTTCATTAAGGATTTAGAGATTAACGTTACATCTCTTCTAGTATAGAACCGATGATGGTGTGACTAAAATGTGTAATCTCTTTCCCCGGAGAGATTGAATTGTTGGCCCAGCGACTTCAATGCCGCACCTGCTTCCCTGTCCCTCTTGTCTTTTTTATCAGATCTGTCCTAGTAAGTGTGCAATTGATGTCTCCCCCAAAGTGTTGCCGTGTTTTAAAGAAGTCACTGGAGGATTTTAAGAACAGTTTGGACAAACACTTGTCAGGGATGGTCTAGGTTTAGTTGGTACTACCTCTGTGCAGGGGGCTGGACTAGATGACTTCTCAAGGTCCATTCTAGCCCTACATTTCAATGACTATTTGGTGGAAATATGCAGTCCTGGAGCGAGAATGAAAATTCTGACAGCTTCACTAGTTTCCAAAAGCTCAATTCCTTCACGGTAGTGTGTAGTTCTCTGGTTAGCAGCTTTTGTCACATCTCCTGGAGTTCATGAAACTCTGGAGAATTCACACTATTGCGTCCTCTGAGATAGCTCTCTACGTAGCTCTTGGTTTTGGCTAGTTTGAAACACTATGTACATTTGCCCATGGAAACGTACATGGCACGAGTGTCTATCCTCTTAGCAGGGGGAATTCTGACTCATGTGAAAGCTCCTGTACAATGTTTCTCATATCCAGCAGGGCAGATGCATTTGTACATCAACTGGTGATCGATGATTATCCAAAGCTTGTGGATGTTGAAGTCCTTCTTTGAGAGATTCCAAATGCCCTCAGCCTTAATACATAAAGTGAACCTAGGGATTTTAGTTAGGGATTTTGTCGCTTCCTAGTCAAGACCTGTTAGAAAGGTAGCATGTCCCCAAAGTTTCATGACCTATTCCACTAGAGTAATAGTAACACTGAATGTATGCTTTCACCAGTCCCGTGTAGCAGATGTGTCTAGGACAGTGTTGGACAATCATATTATTAATTTTTTTAATAATAAGGATACCAGCTGTTTTAATCTGATATTCAGGTTTTTAGCTGCCCATTCTGGTGTGTGTACGGGGTGTTCCTTAGTCCTTGACTGAATGATTCTAGGCAAGGACTAAGGGGTATGTAGATAAGATTCCTCCTCCTCCTCCTCCCCCCCATCATAATGTGTCAAGACTTTAAAAGTCCCATGTTCATGCAGTAGTGTTTTGCTCCAAGAGTATGGATCTGTGGTGTCAGTAGCTGTTAGATAATTAATATAACTTGTTAGTGAAGTCTGCTTCCACTGGTTGGCCTGATGGGCCATTTGTGAGAGTTGTGTACCATTCCCCATTCTGCTCCCTTTGGCGAGATCATCTGTGTGGAAATGTTTTAATAGCCCCATCGGCTGCTGAGCGGGGAGAGTTAACTGTACTATTCAGCAGCTGTCTCTCCAGTTGATTTATGGGTTGCGTTGGTAGCTAAGAAATGGGGAAGTTTGAGGCTTTGTGTGGGAGAGACAACAGAAATGGAAAGGGAAGGTTTTTCCAGAGAAGGAAAAGTACAATTCAGTATCTTCCATTGTGGTTTTCTTCTGTGGGTGGAAAAAGACAAACTTTTGAGCTCCACAGAGCTCTTCTTGAGGCTTTGACCCGAAGAAGAGATCTGCGGAGCTCCAAAGCTTTCCTCGTCCAGTAAAAGATATTACCTCACCCAGCTTGTGTCTCAAGTTAATTTAAGGTATTTAATTTTCTCGTGCCTGTTAATATTATAATGTAACCACTAAAAGAATACAAAACTCTGGCAAATTTATTACTTATTAAAATGTACATCTAAATGTGTTGTCTCTTGGCAGACGGAATGCCTCCAGAATTTCAAACTTCTAGAAGTACTTATGGCCAGTAAGCAAGGTAAATCAAGCGTTATTTGCTTTTCTAGTCCAATGAATAACTGTAGTTGAGTCCTGTAGTATTCATTTATGTATTTTAATGTTAATACATCCATGTTTAATTTTTACAGTTGATCCTCCAATAACTGACAGATACTTGGTGTATAATTATGCTGAAAACTGTTGAAATATTGAATCAGAAATGCTTTTTTTTAAAATTGTCACCATAAATTTTGTGTTTAGTACTTTACTCTCCCTTCTTTGTACTAAAAGAAAGCACATGGCAAGGTTGTGTTTTCCAAAGAGATGTGCAAATATGAGATTTTTCAGGTTAGTGGCCAAACCAAAAAAATTATGGAGGGGCGGGGAAATCAGTTCAAGTCGAACCAAAATGGAGTTTTGTTTTGATATTTTCCCCCCTCCCCCCAACGAAAAGCAAAAGTTGAAAAAATAGTTTTGGGTTGGAAGTTTTGTTTTGGTTTTGAAGGCTGTAATTTTTTTTAAAGAAAATAGTGAAATTCCAGAACAAAAAGTTGAAACATTTCATTTCAGAAATGCTGAAACAAACTCTTTTGAAGTTACTTAAAATTTTTATTTGACCGAAACAATTTGCCGAAATTGACCTGAATTTGTTAATCGTTTTGGTTGACACCAATCTGAATTTTTTCAGTGGAAAAAATTATTTGCATGAGAAATTTCACCCAGCTAATTTTCTGATGCATACTTACCCACTGGTGAAAAGGACTGGTGTTTTGGGAGATGCCCTTTGAAGGCAGCTGTTACTTAATTGGGGTCAATAACTTTGCTATCAAAGCAGATCACACACAGGCCAGTGCAAAGAAGCTTTTCGGTGCTGCTGTTTGGCTATATCTATTCCATGAATAAACCAAGAATTGGAGTTCAGGGACACGTAGGGCCGGATGCTCGAGTCCCTATAGCGGCTGTGTTGCTCTGGTTGGAGAGACGGCCTGGTGGTGAAGAGGCTAGACTGGGACTCCTGATCTGGGTTCAGCCCAGTCCTGCGGGAACTCTGTGGTTGAGCCAGGAGCTAAGGATGTGTCTACACTGCCAAAAAAGGTGTTCTTACTGTGGGTTAAAGTAGCAGTGAAGACATAGCATTCAGGTTAGCAGCTCAAGTTAAAGCCTCTAGGGTTAGGTCTACAGAGCTGCGCACGGCCTAGCCTACCCAAGCGAGCTTGAATCCAGCTCGTGTGGGTAGCAGTAGTAGTGAAGAGAGCCCAGTGCTGGCTTCAGTGCAAGTACTGCCAGTCTGGCATGGACCCTGGCTGTGCATTTGGCTCACTAGCCTGAGCTGCTCTTGCTAGTTACACTAGCTAGCTCGGAGAGGCTAGTGCCATGCGTCACTTTTGCTGCATAGACATACCCTCGGGGAGCTTGGAGTTGAGCTCGTGCTGCTAACCTGAGTAAAAAGCAGAGGTGCTGTGTCTTCACTGCTGTATTACAGGAGTTAGCGAAGCCAAGTTCGAAACACCCCTTTTATTTTCAGGGAGATGGACCCTAAGTGACTTGCCCAAGGTGTTTCACTCTCTCTGTATTCCAGTTCCCAATCTGTACAGTGGCAGGATAAATTAAAGCGTATGAAGCACTTGAATACTCTTGTGATGGAGGCCATAGAAATACTTAGGTAGAGTTTTAACATATGATTGTAACTTTCCCTTGTTTTCTTTATAATCATAATGAATTATGTAATCATAAATCAAAGACTTCATCAAATTATTTCATCATAGAGCCCTGGGAATGAGGTTTATGTTTTGTATGTTCCTTTGGCTGATGATTTGGTTTTGCAACAGTAGAGCGAAAGGGCTATTGTTTAGGGTCATGCAGAAACCGTGCATCTGTTTGCCACAATGGTAATGTATTAAAATGTTGTGGTTAGTGTTTTCTTTTTTTATCTGTCAGGATGAGTCATGTTTTTCCCAGTCATCTGCTTTCAAATACAGTAATTAGTTTGTTACCAGAGTATTGTTTGGTTGTGATTAGCTGCAAAATGTTATCATCCTTTTATATATATATATATATATATATATATGAATAAATAAAGGGTGGGGGTCCAGAAGGGTACTTAAAAGCTTTGTGCAAATTAACGGTAGTGCAATTTAAATCCTCCTCAGAGTTTTGCTGCTGAATATGGCTTGTAGCTTGTGTGTTCATATTTCTACTTGTGTTTAATATTAAAGAAAGTGGTAAAACATAGGTCAAGGCGTTAATTTCCCTAAAACAGTCATTTTTATTTGCTTTTGCTTTCATTTGAGTTATGTAATAATTCAGACTTTTTAAAGAAAAATACTATCATTGCTTTTATTTCTCTAGTTCAGCGAATGGTGCTGGATGACCAGGAGATGATCCTTAGCAGACTTAGGGACATAAGAAAGGTAAACAAGTAAAGAAATAATCAATCTGATTTGTGCTTTCTGATCAGTTGGGGGTAATTTTTTTCTCAATTTCTGGGTAATTTTAATTTTCATTAAACCGAGGAGCTGCAGCTTCTGTATAAGCTCATAAACAGAACAGTCAGGTTTTGGAGCGTAAGTTTTTGTAATTTGTAATTCTTTCCGAGCACAAAGTTCTGGTAGCGAGTGGCATTGCTTCAGAGCTACATCGATTTTTTTTCTCATGACATTGTGTGTTTTCCCCTGCTATATAACGAGTTGTAGCATGACTAGTTGATTTCTTTTTTCTAGACTTCAATACGTCAGATGAATCAGACAAGATTTTACATTGTAGAAAATAATAAATCTGTTGTGCGGGTAAATTTGTTTGTGGGTGGCTTGCCACCTCAGCTCTCTGCTGAAGAATACACTAACATCCTCAAGGATGACTTAGCTATCAAAAGTAAGTCAAATAGTGTTATCTTTGGACTACGAGGACTTGATTTCACTGTCTACTCCTATGTGTAGAATAACATGCTATAGTAAAATTGTGTTCCTTCTTTTCCAATTTTGCTTATGTATATTTGTGACCCCTTTGTTGGCAAATGTTGTCTTGCAAAAATCACTATTTTTTTTCTTGTTACGTTTTATCTGAAATAGTGACATTTTCCCTCTGCTTTTACCTTCAAAGTTCTGCAAATCTGTGGATATCCACTTTATATCCGTGGGTCATTTTTGCAAATCTGATGCGGATACAAATTTTGTATCTGCGCAGGGCTGTATTTATCTTAACATACTGACGGTTCTGTGTAAGAAATAAAAATGTATGTGACAGCTTGCTTTTTGTTCAGAGGATGGTCAGTAAGGCACTTGGGTTGCCTTTATATATATATTTGGTTACACTGACCTTTTTAGCTGTTTTTCTAAAAGTATTATTACTTTCTGTTTAAATTCTAAATGAGTGCATTCTCTTTAAAAGTAACTAGCTGAAAGTCAGTTTTTTATCAAAGAATATGTAAGATTATATTAATCGTTTCCCAAGAATAGTACCTGGGATTTAACTTTCTTTAAGAAGGTAAATTGAAGGACGTTAACAGATACCTTAACGCTACCTGTCATATGGCTTGTGTGCTATATTAGTTCAAATTGTGGCAACACAATTTAATTCAGAAGTGAAAAGGGGGGAGTACATTTAACAATTTTGTCTTTATTACAGCGAATATATTCTATCTACACTACTGAAAATTCACTTTGTACCTTTCTACAGTAAAGAAATTTATCTTTTCATATAGCTTTTACTTTTCAAAGTTAAACACCAGGGGGAAGTTGTTTTTTACTTATACAAAGTTTGAAAAACAACCACCAACTTTTAAGGTGACTTTGGAAGAGGGAAAGTGTTAATTGGGGATGCTATCTGTTTTTTTGCGATTTTAAAAAGTTTTTGATTTGAAATCAGTGCTTTTAAAATTTACTGTTCATCTACCCAAAGTCTGACGTACGTTCTCTTTTAATCTTTGCAGCAAATCTGCTTTCTTTGAGTCATGTTTACTCAGTGCAAGGTAAGCCTCTAACATTTTAAACTGAGTTCAGTATTGTAAAAACATACCAACTTCAGAAATTCAGTCACATGCTAAAAGCTCGAAGATAAAAGAATATATTAGAGATCTTATCATCTAAAGAAAAAGTCTTTAAAAATCAGATGTAAAACATCGTAGCATATTTATATAAGCCACAATATATTTTATTAGAACTTTCTTTTTTATAAGGTGGCTTCATTCCTTGTATGAATGTGATGAAGTTTTATCTGTTAAAAGTGAGTTTTGAATGTTAATTTCAAGCAGCTAGGAGAGTCAGTTGTTGCAGGCAATACCATACATCCTCTTCTCATTTTGTTCTTTTAAAAAATAAGAGATTGGAATTTGTTTCTGTTGTTAAACTTAAAAAAATGGAATTTCAAGCTCTGTGTTTCACAGATCCAGCATTTTGGTTTTAATAAGTACACTGGAGGGGATGAGGCTAATCTGTTATCTTTGGAAAATTCTTACTTCAGTTTGTTAGATTCTCTTCCACTGAACACACACGTTTTCTTTGAGATGTTGCTTTGCTACTGGTGTTAAAGAATGAGGTTTATTTCATCCTGGGGTGAGGGAAATTGGGGAAGTAAGAAACACCTCCAAAACCACTAGAACATTTAGCATTAGGAGTGCTGCAACCTGACAGCTACGCATCTGTATTCTTCGTATCCTCAACCATGAAATAGAAAAGACTTTCTTTAGCTTTTATCCATCTGCCACCAAATGATGATTCATAAAAGTTTATTTTCAAATGCATTGTCCAATCTCAATTTCAAATGACTGCATTAGTGGGGCGTCATTGACTTAATTTGGGAGGTTAAGGCCTACAATAATAATCTTCAGAAAATGTTCCTGATATCCTGTTTAGATACTCCTTTGCCCAGTTGCATTCCATTAACCCATACCCAAAAGCCCGTGTTTACTGCCGATGTTTTCCCTCATAAAGACCATTGGAACCCCCTGGGATGTTTTTGAACAACTCCTTTCCCTTTTTTGTATTTGCAGCATGGAAAATAATTGTAGATTATGATCCTCCTCTTATCCATAGTTTGTTTTAAATCCAGTTTACATGTAGGTGTTTTACAGAGCTCTCTGCTCATGAATTAATCCATGTAATCGTTTTTATGGCTGTTTGAAGTTTGTTCAGTTCCTTAGTATTTTTCTATTTCCGAGACTCTCTCAATGGGGTGGGAAGCTCTAGCTGGGAGTCAGACCTTCCTGGACCATGGTATGATGGCTCTTAAGAAACAGCCAAAATTCCATAGATTTTTTTTTCTTTTAGCCACGATACTGTTTGGCAAGCTCATAGCTAACCTGTTAGCCATCGTCCTTCCTCGTTTTGTTTGGCATTATTGGTTCCAATATTTCGTTCACACTAAACAGCTGATTTCTTTTGCCTGAATTTTTTTTCTTACTAGATGGATTTTTTCCCAACCTACTCAGATATCTAAGCGCCTTTTATATTCTTTCTCTGACCACTCTAATTTTTGTAACACCCCGTCAGTTTTGCCCAGCACTAGTGTGTGGATCTTTCTCAACAATGTTCCCACGTGGTTTGGTTTGGTTTTTCCTTTCTTTTCTGTGCTGATGGATTTTTGAATTAAATACAAATAGGACTTTGCATTCTTGGCAACTAGTTTATTGCAGTTGGATGACTTTCTTATATTTTCTTAAGTACCATAAAACTATTTTCTTTCATGGTAATCTGTTTTTCCTGATCTTAACTTCATATTAAGCTAGTTTATTTGCAACTAAAGAATCACTTAAATACATTTGTTACAGGTGCTGTTGTACTTGAAATGTCTTGTTTTTCTGAAGCTGAAAGAATATATATGCTAGCTAAAGATACAACGGTCAATGACAAACAGCTTACTGCCGCTGTGATTCCTGAAGTTCTGGTAAGATCTTTAGGTTACATCCTGTGTAAGAAAAAGCCAGACTCTCTTTTGAGAGAGAGTGGAGTGAAAATTGTTTGGTATTTGAAGGGACGGGTGGACAAAAATAGACTGAAATTGAGCTTTTGTAAACATTCGGCTAAAGAATAGAGAAAGAGCCTGTATTGTATGTCCCTGATGTACATCTGTGTATGAATGGCTGCTTGTTACGTTGATACTGATCATGAAGTGCTGAACGGTGATGTGAGTGTAGTTACAAAGCTATAAAGGAGCAAAAAGCAATTTTAATTCTTTTCCCTAAATTCTTTCCACTATCACTAAAATTTGATGGAATCCCTTTACTTTTAATAGCAGTTTGCTGTAGCATCTCCATTGAAGTTACTTCAGTGTTTAAACTTGGTTCCTGGGTAGTTCTGGGATAGCCCCACCCACTCTTGGGTGATCTCCCTTTTGCTGAGTGGCTGAATTCCCTTGTTTGGGAGAGGGGTGGGAGTGCACATGCACGTTTACCAACTTGTACCCTGTATACTGTATTGTTGGGCTGCCTCCCAGGAGGAGTCTTGTCACCCTCTCCCTCCTGAGGGAGGAACAGGAGGGCCAAGGAATCTTAGGGTAAGCCTGGGCTCTAGGACGCTGTGTGGTGGAGGGGGTCCCAGAGCCCAAGCCCAAACATCTACACCGCAATTAAACAGCCCATTAGCCGAAGCCCCATGAGCCTGGGTCTGCTGGCACTGGCCAGCCGCGGGGGTCTAATTGCATTGTAGACATACGCTTTGTTCCTTCTTCGAGTGACCTCTACATGTTTTTACTCATGGGATGGCTGACGGCGCAGCCTGGCCATGCTCGTTCTGAGCTCTGGTTGGAGGTGAAATCACCTTCTTTTTTATATCTAGAACTAATGACGTCAACAAATATTTCAACTATAATTTAATCTATAGACGTTAGCTGACCTCTCTAGCATTCCAGTAAACAGTACAAAAAGTAGGTTAAGATGAAGCTGCTATCTTTCTTCAAAGTCATTGAAATATGTCACCTTGCAGAGAGTCTGTTTCTTTGCTCTTCCCTTGCCAGGCATGAGAGGCTGGCAATGCAGAAGGCTAGACGCTTTCCCTGAGAGGAAGGTGCATCGTGTGCTGTTTTGTGGCAACTCTGACGGGTACTTAGGATGGGCTCTGGAGAGGTTTTTTAAAGGGCCCTGCCTGAAAGAGAAATGGAAGAGAGTTAACTCAATGCTGTGCTTTTTAACCCAGGCAAAGTGAGAGTTCTGTGGTAAAGCTTATGACATACGTCATTTACTTGGTTACAGTTTAATATCCATAATTCAATAAACTTCAGTGAAATACTCTTAATGAAGTGATGTGGTGAATTCTTCATCACTTGAAGACTTTAGAAGAGGATTGGTTGTCTTTCTAAAAGACATACTGTAGCTCAAGCAGAAGTTGTGGGCTAGGTGCAGGAATCATTTGGTGAAATTCCCTGGCCTGTGTTGTGAAGGAGGTCAGAATAGATGATCCTAAAGGTCCTTTCTGGTCTTAAAATCTGTGACTCTACGGAAGTGCTTTATTTGGTACTGATTGACCAAGAACTTTTCTGCTCCAAACTGCAAGTCATCTCAGAAAATATCAATTGACTTGAAAAGGACAGCATGTCATCCTCTTTGTGCTGCCAAATAAATATTCCTAACAATGTTTTTAATTTGTAATCGTTTTCAGATTCCAACGAGCTATTGGGGTGAGATGGCGGGAAAGCAGTTCAGCAAGGTTATTTTAAAACAGCATAGTTGATGTAGGACCTAGATTAAAAAAATGTGGTGTGATCATTTTCTGCAGAGCCATCAGAGGGCATACAAATGATATAACATATCCTCTTTCCAGAGATATGTTGACATCCTCAGCACTGCAGCTAAATAAAATGATGATGTTAGTTTCAAGCTTCTTTAGAATTACAGAAAAAAATCAATGTTTGCCAAATTATACAAAATTAATAGGAAAAAATGTGTGTTTCTATGAAGGTAATGCAAACAATGGCTTAAAATAAAAGAATCTTTGTTTAAAGTTGCTTTTGAAATAATGTAGATAATGTGACAGCAGTTATGAAACAGCATAAATCACAAATGACTTTGTGTAAGTCTGTAAAGAGTATTGTGTAGTTATTAAAAAGGAACAGTGCTTTAACCACCTACAAATCTGAAGTCCTCCACTTCTATAGAAGAGAAGTTATTCGAATGAGTCGTCTTAGACCATTTTTTTCCTCAAAAATGTGTGCCTTCAAAAAGCTCTATGAAGGGAAACTTTGTGTAGGCATGAAACTAATGACAATCTGAAAGGACATTTGTTTGAAACTTTCCAATTCCTCCCCCCGCAAAAAAAATCTTTGCAAGCCCCATCCAATACTCCTTACATACCCCATGAAATTACTGGGTATTTTTCTAGAGAAAAATCAATTTGCTTGTGTTCTAAATCTACATTGGTCTCAAAAGGGATAAAAACAAAGTTGGCCATTTTTTGGTTATTGGCTTTCACAGGTTAAATAGGTAAGTGCTGGGGAGTTTATATGGGCAGGAGGGATAGCTCAGTGGTTTGAATAGTGGCCTGCTAAGCCCAGGGTTGTGAGTTCAATCCTTGAGGGGGCCATTTAGGGATCGGGGGCAAAAATCTGTCTGGGGATTGGTCCTGCTTTGAGCAGAGGGTTGGACTAGATGACCTCCTGAGGTCCCTCCAACATTCTGTGATTCTATGACTGTACTCTGAAATGTTTACCTGGCTAGGCTAGCTGTCCCTCAGGGTTCCTGACATTATATAGAATAGCGCTGAGCCCTTTGAAGTCAGGAATATAGATCCTGATGCTTATCCTAAAATGCAAGTTATATCTAGAAACCCTGGGCTCATTGGCACTATCAGGCTGCACTTCTGATAGGTAGGAAGATTTACAATAAATTCTGAAATGATAGAAAATGGATTGCTTCTGCTCAGTAATCTCTAAAATGAAACTTACTTTAGTAGTTAACATTGAGAGTTTCAAGCCATCTAACGTGGAAAGTAGCTTACGTTGCTCATTGTTTACCTAGAGTAAACTATCAAGAACTTCAAGTAAGATTTTGTTCTTTCTTTATAATTGTATGTGATCTTTTAGCCCTGCACACAGCTGTGGGAAATACTTGTATAAAAATTTAGTACTGTACCAAACAATATTGTATTTGTTTTTCCTCTGTCACTGTTGCGGGAGTGGGAAGAATTGACTGACTAAAATGAGAATGGAGCAAAATTTAGTCCCAGAAAAGGAATGTGTGGTTCGAAACAAGAAACTCTCACATTTTCAATTTTGACCTAAAAGTCGTGAGCCGTTTTTGTAAAGTTGTAACTTAATAATAAAAGAAGCTGCAACATCTCTAATCTTGAAGGCTAGTTATCATTTGGCACAAAAGTAAACAGTAAAACTTGGTGTCTCCTCTCAGATTTATTCTTTGCATATTGTAAAAGCAAAACTATTCATTTACCCCGTTTGAGATGCCTTTTAAAAATAAGGCCCTGTCTAAACTCATGGCTCTTGCGAGCTTTTCATGAAAGTTTGTCTGAGATATATTTTTCCCTGGTTTATCTTGATTAAAAATAAAGTTTAAATACAACATTCATTAGAATGGTTCTGATTGCTTCTCACACAGACAGACTGGTAGGATTGGCCTACCTTTGTATGTTGTGTCCTTGCCACTTCACTATATTTGACTTAGGGATTTTGTTAAATAAAGTTTATTTCAGAATATTTAAGTAAAATAAAATATTTTGTTCTTTAATTAACGTGTGAACAACAGTACAGCATGTTGCAGAACAACATTTTCTTGTACTGCATATGATGCCCGCCTAGAATCATAGGGTTAGAATGGACCGCAAGGGTCATCCAATCCAACCCCCTGCCAAGATGGAGGATTTGTTGTGTCTAAACCAGTGGTCCCCAAACTTTTTACGTCACCCCTCCCCTTACCCCTGTCCATGCCTCCCTCCCCCCCCCCCCCCCCGCCCCATGGCTGGGAGCGGGGCCAAGGCTCTCGAAGGGAGAGGCGATGCGGACAAGGGTAAGGTGGCTGAGGCTGGGTCATAGCTGGAGGTGGGGGCAGGAGCGGAGCTTCCACCAGGGGCTGAAGTCAGCAGCCGGTGCCCCAGGCCAGCAGCCGGATCTTGGGCAGGGCCAGGACTCTGGGCGCAGGGCCAGGAGCAGAGTTGGGTGGCGCTCCCTCCCCACCCCCGTGGGGACTGGCCCAGGCTCCAGCTGCACCCCCCGAACATTCCTGCCTGCTCCCCATAGATTGGGGACCTCTGGTCTAAACCATCCAGGACAGATAGCTATTAAGTCCTCTCTTAAAAACCTGCAGTGAAGGAACTTCCACAACCTCCCTAGGCAGTTTGTTCCACACTCCTACTGTTCTTACAGTTCAGAAGTTTTTCCTGAGATTTCATCTAAATCTGCTGTGCTGTAGTTTGAACCCATGGCCTCTTGTCCTGCCCTCTGTGGCAAGAGCGAACAATTTTTCACCATCTTTTTTATAGCAGCCTTTCAAATATTTAGCAATGGAGCGCTTGTATCCCATTACATCTAGTGTTCTCTTCTGAGGCCTGGTCTACACTACGGGATTAATTCGGATTTAGCAGCGTTAATCCGAATTAACCCTTCACCCGTCCACACTACAGAGCCAGTTAATTCGAATTAAAGGGCCCTTTAAATCGATTTCTGTACTCCACCTCGACGAACGGAGTAGAGCCTAAATCGATTTTGTTAATTCGAATTAGGGTTAGTGTGGCCGCACACCACCGAATTACTGTGTTTAAGTTAATGGGGTAGTGTGGCCGCACACCACCGAATTAATGTGGTTAAAAACCGAATTAAGGTGCTTAGTGTGGCCGCGCACAATCGAATTTATACAACCTGTTTCCCAAATTCGAATTATCTAAATTCGGATTAATCCTGTAGTGTAGACATACCCTGAGTGAAGAGTAGAGATGGCAGATAGA